AGGAAGGAAGGAAGGAAGGAAGGGAAAGAAAGAAAGAAAGAAAGAAAGAAAGAGAGAGAGAGAGAGAGAGAGGAAGGAAGGAAGGAAGGAAGGAAGGGAAAGAAAGAAAGAAAGAAAGAAAGAAAGAGAGAGAGAGAGAGAGAGAGGAAGGAAGGAAGGAAGGAAGGAAGGGAAAGAAAGAAAGAAAGAAAGAAAGAAAGAGAGAGAGAGAGAGAGAGAGGAAGGAAGGAAGGAAGGAAGGAAGGGAAAGAAAGAAAGAAAGAAAGAAAGAAAGAGAGAGAGAGAGAGAGAGAGGAAGGAAGGAAGGAAGGAAGGAAGGGAAAGAAAGAAAGAAAGAAAGAAAGAAAGAGAGAGAGAGAGAGAGAGAGGAAGGAAGGAAGGAAGGAAGGAAGGGAAAGAAAGAAAGAAAGAAAGAAAGAAAGAGAGAGAGAGAGAGAGAGAGGAAGGAAGGAAGGAAGGAAGGAAGGGAAAGAAAGAAAGAAAGAAAGAAAGAAAGAGAGAGAGAGAGAGAGAGAGGAAGGAAGGAAGGAAGGAAGGAAGGGAAAGAAAGAAAGAAAGAAAGAAAGAAAGAGAGAGAGAGAGAGAGAGAGGAAGGAAGGAAGGAAGGAAGGAAGGGAAAGAAAGAAAGAAAGAAAGAAAGAAAGAGAGAGAGAGAGAGAGAGAGGAAGGAAGGAAGGAAGGAAGGAAGGGAAAGAAAGAAAGAAAGAAAGAAAGAAAGAGAGAGAGAGAGAGAGAGAGGAAGGAAGGAAGGAAGGAAGGAAGGGAAAGAAAGAAAGAAAGAAAGAAAGAAAGAGAGAGAGAGAGAGAGAGAGGAAGGAAGGAAGGAAGGAAGGAAGGGAAAGAAAGAAAGAAAGAAAGAAAGAAAGAGAGAGAGAGAGAGAGAGAGGAAGGAAGGAAGGAAGGAAGGAAGGGAAAGAAAGAAAGAAAGAAAGAAAGAAAGAGAGAGAGAGAGAGAGAGAGGAAGGAAGGAAGGAAGGAAGGAAGGGAAAGAAAGAAAGAAAGAAAGAAAGAAAGAGAGAGAGAGAGAGAGAGAGGAAGGAAGGAAGGAAGGAAGGAAGGGAAAGAAAGAAAGAAAGAAAGAAAGAAAGAGAGAGAGAGAGAGAGAGAGGAAGGAAGGAAGGAAGGAAGGAAGGGAAAGAAAGAAAGAAAGAAAGAAAGAAAGAGAGAGAGAGAGAGAGAGAGGAAGGAAGGAAGGAAGGAAGGAAGGGAAAGAAAGAAAGAAAGAAAGAAAGAAAGAGAGAGAGAGAGAGAGAGAGGAAGGAAGGAAGGAAGGAAGGAAGGGAAAGAAAGAAAGAAAGAAAGAAAGAAAGAGAGAGAGAGAGAGAGAGAGGAAGGAAGGAAGGAAGGAAGGAAGGGAAAGAAAGAAAGAAAGAAAGAAAGAAAGAGAGAGAGAGAGAGAGAGAGGAAGGAAGGAAGGAAGGAAGGAAGGAAAGAAGGAAGGAAGGAAGGAAGGAAGGAAAAGTTTATAGGCAGCACATCACCATTTAATAGCCTCTTTGGGTTATTTGTAGGACACAGCCCTTCAGCCTTTCTAGGTTAAGTCCAAAATGATCTTGGGCAAGACACTCTCTCTCTACTAAGCATGTTTCGTCAGCTTTAAATAAAGGCCTTAATAATTCCTACTTCATGCCTCTTAATAAGTGAACAGATTTAAGCAAAAGTCTAAACTGTAAAATATACAAATATTTGGAGATTTTTTTTAAATTTAAGATAAAGAATAATTTGATAATATAAAAGAAAATCAAAACGATTAACTGGAAGATTGTTTCAGTTTCATGGGGGGGCGGGGTAATGAGATTACAGATTAAAATGGCGATAAGACTGGATAGCTAGGGTTTGTTTTTTAATTGGGGAAAGCGCTTATGGTTTGGGTAAGTAGAGAAAATAAAGATTAAAAAAAAGTGAAAGATGATTCCATGGAAAAAATAAGGAGGATAGTCAGTTTTCTTCTGGACTTGATGAGATTAAAAGAGATGGCAAGATATTTAAACTAAAGAAGACTGTGCCAGCCGTCTCGCAGCTAGGAAGGGTACACAGGACAGATGCCAATAAGGATGGCAGAGGGAAAGCCACCAAAGCCCAGGTCTTTGAGTCACTGAATAACCAACTGGAGACTGAGCTCGTTTTCATCGTGTATTTTGTTCCTTGCAGCCCAAACCGTCCTAAGCTAGAGAATAGCAAAGTTGAATTAAGCGAAACCTACACAGTCTTGGTGAGATTACTAAAATGATTGTAGATATTTTGAGTTCGTTTATAATTCTTTGAGAAGGAATATTTCTTTATAATAATTCTTTCTAATAATTTGAGAAGGAATATTTCTTTAAATTGCTTAATAGCTTTTTTTTTTACTTCAAATTTTACCCCTTTGGAGACACAAAAATTTATATTGTTTAAAGAGTAACATCAGCAGTGGAAAAAAACATAAGATAATAATTTATTTAATAAATTAAATAAAACATTAGAGTTAAATTAAAAGATTACTGATGTGTTTTTAAATCACGATGTAAGATTTACATATATAGCTTGTCAAAGCACTGGGAATACTAACTAAAATGAAAACCTAGAAAATAAAAATAAAAACATTATTTACTTTAAAAAGCACTTATTTTGTCTTGAAATGGGGTATTATGGCCTGAGAACAAATGAGCTATTGCAGTTTTAGATATGAGTTATTAGAAAAAATATTTCATTTTTATAAGGATGATCCACTTTTATAAAATCCTATATGAAGTTTAAATATATGAAGAGATGGATTAGACCATGCTTATTATGTGCCAGGTACTCCTAATGCTCAAAACAAACAAAAAATGTAATTATCACCACTTTCCAGATGAGAAAACTGAGACAGAGGAGTGAGGTAACCTGCCCAACAATTAACAGAATTTACATCCAGGCAACCTGACACCATACACACTCCAGACGAAAACTAAGTGGGTATATGTAGTGTAAGTGCCTGGCAATAAGCTTTTTTTATGTAGTAAAAATACTTGCCACTAAACTTTTGACAGCCTAGGCAGGCATCCACTTCAGACGTCATCCATCTTGAACCGACATATTGCCAGCTGCAGGAAACAGCTACTCCCTAAACTAGATAAAGAGCCAGGCCTCTCCCACCCATGAAGATGAACCTTTTAGAAAACCCCGTCTGATCTAGATAACTAACCTTTTGAGTAACCCCACTTTTCACTTCCTGTACACTAATTCTCACTCTTCTGTTTTAAATTCACCAAGAAAGAGTGAACCCACAAAATGCCAGGTACCCCACCCTCAACTCTTCACAAAGACAGAAGCCGAGGTTCACACTCCATTCCTCTCTCTACTCATGGCCTGCCGTGTGGTCCTTGGCGTTGCTCTGTGCTCTCCAGGACTTATGAGTAATAAAGGCTGTTTTTTTCCCAATTCCCTGATGGTGGTTTCTGAGGTGTCTTGCAATCTTTAAGAAACACGAGCGCCAGTCCAGCCACAACATCAGCTCGGGATCGGGGAATGTCCGTGGGGGTCCACCCAAGTAGTCCCAGGGGACCGCCTCCTGCACTCCCAGCCAATAGCATCGCTCTCCATAGGCTGAGCCTGACACAAAACAGTACAAGCTAGCGTTTCTTACGATCTTAAATATTTTAACACTTATTTTTTTTTTTAAATAGGTTGGGATATCTATAAACCTTCATAAATATTTTATAAGAAGAGAATCCCTCGATACATAAAAATTAGAGAAACAAGCCATTTTCCGGCCAAAGGCTCCCTACACCTAAAGTGGTCTGTAAGACGCAGGTTGAGCGCCACAACCATGCACTGGCTCACTCTTTTGCGAGATGGGACAAAACGGGATCACCACTTCTCCTAAAGTCATCAAAGAGTTAGAGAGGAGTCAGTGCCCAGCACCGCTTTAGAGTTTTAAAAGAAATGGCTAAATGTGGGCCCGGTTTCCTCTAATTCAAGCTCCCCTTGACTTCACCACCTCTGAACTTCCTCTTCCCAGCAACTGCACTGGTTTTGTTTATTTTGCTTTTGTTTTCTTTTCTCTTCTTGAGAGCTAGACACCCATAGGTAATCTGAGAGGTGATTCTCACCCCAAACTTTCCTACTGGTAGATCCGAGACTCTCCTCCCATAATTAAGCCTTGTTCACTCGAGAACGTCGTGTAACGGAATGCAGCCTCTGAGTTCGAAACCAGCTTCCCCACCTAAGGTCTGGACACCCTTGATAAATTATTTAACTTCCCTGTGACTCACCTTCCTCCTTTGAAAACTGGGACTCTTATCTGCTTAGTAACAGTTGCTAGGAGGATCAAATAAGATAATTTACATTCGTGATTGGGCAATGACTAGCACGTTAACTACTATTTTTATTATTAACTACTGGCACATTAACTACTATTTTTATTATTAAGAAAACAATTCTATAAAAATATTCATGTGTTCTCTTGCTCCGGATTCAGGCATCGCTGGTTTTATCTTGTGCTTTATCTTTTAACATTAATTTTTCATATGCATTGTGGCACTTTTACATTGAACTTTTACACTTTTATATAGATCTGTTAAAAAAAAACAACAACTTTTTTTAGCATTTCAGCTGCAATCAGGTTGGCGTTTGAGGATTTTCCCTGATATCTCAATTGTTTTCTATGCAGATTTTTAAATTCAAAAAGTCCAAATGTCTATTCCGTTTAACTTTTCTTTCTAGATAAACCTGCCTACATTTTTTTCAGCCCACTAGGAATCTGAAATACATTTGCTATTAAATGAGATCCATTTTATTTTCCCTATATACACTGCTCCAATTTTATTCAATGTTGCTCCTCAATATTTGGGGGGTAGAGGAGATATATTCTTGAATGTGAGAGAAGAAAGATTAAGCTTCTCTTCCAAAACTGGCTTTCTCATTCTTAGCTACAAAAAGTAAAATAACTAAGTAGTAAAACTTCTAATCAAATTCCTAACATCCATGTCCCCATAAAACCATATAGCATAAACATAGATGTATAATTCATAAAGAATTTTCTCCAAAAACTTTATTCAACAAAAATTATAATAATATCTTTCAAAGTAGGATCTAGGAGACACATTGCTAAATTACTCTGATTTTATCAATCTCATGATGCTATTAGGAAATAAAACAAAATAGAAATAACCAGTGACATTTGCCAAACATTATGCTGCTTCCTGTCATCTCCATCAAATAATATCACAAAATGATATAACTTCATCAGTTTTAATGGTCATATCTGTGAACCCAAGAACAGTGTGCAAATAGTTGACTTGTGGGAAAAGAGAAAACATCAGAAATAGCAAAATAGCTTGCTTGCTCTCTGTGACGCTCCTGGTCTTATTCCCGTTGCTAGCAAGTTCTCATACCGACTGGCTTTCTTCAGTCAACGCCATATCCGGCAGGTATTATCCTTGCTGCCTATTAGGACAAATTTCGTAAAGTTATTTTTCTTTATTTCATTCCCTCTCTCTTTCTACAAGTTGTCATTTTCTGGGTCATCGATAATCATCAATGTGTCAAATGTGTTAGATTCTCAGCGCCCAGCTTTGAAGTCCCTGAGGCCGCTCAGCTCAGGCGCTTCTTTGAGTAGAAATCTTTTTTTGTCTGTTTCCGTTTTGCACGATTCCTCTTAGTCCTAAATTGGGCACGTTCATGTGCTACTCGCACTGGCATGACCCGTGGCATTGTAGAAATGAAGAGGGCCTGAGACTGCAACCACATCAGCTATCCCATCCCCTCTGCTTATTCCTTCTGCCCGCTCCTCAGTCATCGCCACCAGGTGGAAATACAGTGAACTTGAACATCTCCAGGTCTAAGAGTTAGCTTGTGAGCAGACATCACATTCCGCCTTGAAACATATCAAAATGTCAATAGATTTTTCTCATCGTCAGTCAAAATGTGAAATTGGCATTCTCCCCCACTCCCTACTGCTATGACAGATACTCTTCCAGAGCAGCCGTGAAGAGCCCTTCCCCGAGGGTCACCATTCACTTTCTGTCTGTGGTAATGACAGCCCTGGCGTGGCTCACTTCAGAGGCCAGGCACGTAACATCGGTGCAAAGCCTGTAAAAACTGCACATTCCACCAAAACGTGCCTTATGCATTTTTTAAAAATGTAATGACCATATACTGGTCAGTTTTGGCCAGTTTTGATTTTCAACCCAACCTCAGGCATGAAGAAATGCATGGTGGACACTAGGGTTGGCCAAGAAAATAAGGCAGATTGATTCAAGCAAAGTAATGGCTCTGCCACTGGCAAGGCAAAAGCGTCACACCTGTTCTAATAAGCTCTGTCATCCAGTGGGCCAGTATTTAGCACCTTGAGGCTTTGGGATACACTAAGCGAATTAATAATATCTTAAAAGAGCTCAGGAATTTAAGTGTTAGCACTAAAACAAGGCACAGACAACTAATACTCCTTCCCTAAGCAATCCAGGGTCTTCGTGAAAACTGGTCGAGGAGATGGGTATCGCACAGCTGGCTTAACATGAAAGACATGCACTAGGAAAGGCTGGTCCTCTGCCCACCTAGCCCGCCTCCCTCTTCCCTACTCAGCAGCAGCTTCCTGCAGGAGCATCCTGTGGCTTCTATCACCGTCTCCCACCTCGTCCCCTGTCATAGGAAAGAATTTGACATTGTGTCCACAAAAAAAAAAAAATGTGTGGCTTATTATGGTATTGTTTTAGGAGTAGCTACATTTTAGTAACACTTGAAAATCATAAACCCAAAGAATCTATAATTTTAGAACTTACCTATAATTACATAGAAAGAGGACGTTTTAGGGAAAAGGGGGAGATTATTCTCAGCATCCTTGAAGCTATATGACCATGAAGCTAAGCAGCCAGTATACAGAATCAGCCTTGTACATTTAACTTTGAACGTATTAAATCCGTTAAGCAATGTTTTAATTTACCCAACACAATGGAAATCACTGAGAGTGAGCACACTGGGTCTCCTGGGACCTCTTGGTCGTCCCGGCCGTGCTGTTGTAGCACCCATCCCTCGCCAAGGCCTCCTCCACAGGCACCGCACTAACATTGTACCATATTCTCGTCATTTCTCTCCCCTTTCTGTAATCTAAATTAACCTAGTCTCAATCCAGATCTTATAAAAAAAACAGTGTGGCTAATATGATTCATCCACAATTAAACTGTTAAAGGTTGAAAAATGCTCAATACATGTTCTCTTCCCTAAATTTCAGTATGTTAGTAAGGGACATCCAAGGGAAAAAAAACAACATAGTTTAAAGAATGAATCTCTAATAGATTATAAACCTAACTGTGGAGAACCGGGGTCCTGACTTGTTTTAGTTACCAACACTTAACTGACATCGGCTAAATATTAACCATCGAACACACGATGGGGAAACGTAGTAACCAGCAAGGCAGGCTGCAGAATTCTTACTTCGTCTAGGGTAAAATTCAGAATTCATGGAGCATTACCGTCAGTAGTGGAGCTCACTTCCCTGGTTCTGCAATGCAGATACAATGAAATAGAAGATATCGAACCCACCAAGATGACCCACGGGCCTTGGGAGAGGGGCAGGGGACGGATGTGAACACCTTTTGGTATTCAGCTTGGGAACTGAGCCAGTTTCTAAGGGAAACCAAGCCTATGGTGCTTCTTTCTCCCCTACCTGTAATGATTATGTTGCCGCTATAGTTAAAAGCACACGAAAAGATTTCATCCGTGTGCCCTTCAAGCACCTGGAGGCATTGACCAGTCTGAGCATCCCAGAGTCTCGCCGTTTTGTCAGAGCTGCCCGTTAGAAGACGGGTCCCTTGGGGGTTGAAAGAAATCTACAAAAGAGTGAAAAAAACCATCATGGGTTCATATAACGATGCCCAGTATGTTTTTAATTTAATCAGGACATTACTAAGCACCTGTCCCCTTCCCAGTCTGATATTTATTGTTGCATGGAACAGTTCTTTCACAATGAGAAAAAGTATTACAGGGACTAATACCTGCAAATTAAAATCTAGGCAGAAAGATTTAATTGCCTGTCCCCTTTGGATAAAGACCAGACACCCTTATAATTTGGGTATTTCGTGCCCAGCTGCTTTCCAAAGACTCGTGATGCCTTTCCCCGCGCAAACACAGAGGCAAGGCCCTGCTGTGGATGAGAACACACGTCAGGCTTCCACCTTCCCAAGCCCTGATGCCACCTCTGCAACCCAGCTTTGTGCAATCAAAAGCACACAGGTCCTCTTTCGATCTGGGCCGCAGAATGGGTAAACATCGGGGCCTACAGGAGAGGACTTTCTGTCTATCACTACTCAAAGTACAACACTTTCCATAAATGTCCCGAGGGCCTCTGATGTGCTGGGCATTATCAAACGGTATCTGAGCAGCAGGCAAAGGAAACTGTTGGTCCTCCATTCCTTCGGGTGCGATGCTCACAACCCTCTCCACATTATCAGGCGACAATGATTTGTACCATCTCCTCCATGACCAAAGGTTTGATGAAGGCAGAGCCACGTCTTTTTTTCATCACCGTGTCACCAGTGCCGGGAGCAATGCCCATCGCAGTGGAAGCTCTCAAAAAGCATTCGCTGAACGAACGAACCCTTTGCTCGGCACGCCATGGAAATGCCATTACTGAGTGGCAATTCAATAAGTAATATGTCAATCACGTAAGCATAAAATGCAAAAATACAGACTCTGAGAACTCTTTATAGTCACATACTCACAAAAACAGATGCACAATTGTTGAGTGAGACCCACCAGACATGTCAAAACCAGACACTCGGAAACATGACCAGGGCTCACTCCTCAGCTTGCCTCCCATGTTCACACCACCTCCATCCCCGTTTCTGCCAACCTATGGAAAGGATATGCTCTGCGCTGCCTGGGAGACCAGGCCTGAGGGGCTGGCAAAGCCACCAACAGCACGGTCCAGATAGAGTCTTCAGAGACATGAAACCATGGAGAATATTTTACAGAGACAGAGCAAATCTGCTCTCAGGTGTGAGACCAAGGAACCGGTCTGAGCTGGGGGTTGTGGGAGTGAGAGTCATCAAGCCCCAGCCTTCTTCGAAATTTTCCAAGGACACGACTAAGCCTCGGATCGCTGACTGGATAGCGCTGCTCTGTGAATAAGCTTTTGGGAGAAGTTTATACAAAATTCTAAGCTACGGCTTTGGAGTTTCAAAATAGGTCGTTTTCAATTTTGTTGAGTGTTAAATATTTCCATGAAATACTTTCTCAATTGCATCTAATTTAGAAAACACTTGATATACTTGCCACACGGCATGTCTTTTTGCATAATATAAAATTGTGTGTCTGCTAGAACTAGGAAAAGCACTTCGTAAGCTTTTAAGTAGCTTTCGTAAGTATTTTCAGCTAAGTAAATCTTTTGCTGATGGCTGAGGAGAATGTTGTTTACAGTTTTTGAAAGGTTTTAGAAATCATTTATTATGCTGAGTTTGAGGATACACTTAAAAATAAAGTCTTTAGGTAACTGATTTCTAGAAAGAATGAGATAATTGGACAAACCTTTGTACCTTAGTGCCAATGCACCTATTTATATTAAACATACTGTCTATTTTTTGACAGTAAATAAATTGCTCCAAATGAGAAAGCAACTCACCTTTGAAATCTCACCTTCATGGCCTTCCAATTTAGTAATGCACTTTCTTGTGGCCGCACTGAAAACTCTCGCTGTTCCTTTTTGAGAGAAATGAGGATATATATAAATTAATCGGAAAAACAGAACTTTGAACCACATGCCTTAAATTATCTAAACATCCATCCCTCTGATGTACAGCTCTCTGCTAGGTTAGTCTTTTCACCTGTGGTGAAAGCCAGGCGTTTAATACTGTGAGTGCAAGCTGGTCCCACTGCAGGGAAGGAGAGCACAAAAGAAATGCCTCTCTAGCCCCAAGCTTATTCAAAGAGATAATGGGTTGTTTCCAAGTAGAAATAGCAGAGAGGCAGAAATTCAAAAAGAAAAAAAAAAAATTAAAAGGGAAAGAAAGGGGAATCGAAACAAGTTTTGAGAGGCCAGGGATGAAATAAGCAGCAAGACCAGCCTCATACAGCAAATATGAGTCTAAAGTTATGGAAGGTGCAAGAGGCCACCCGAAGAAGGAACAGCGGCCATCACTCAATGAACAAACAGTAGACACTAGGAAACCCTTTCAACAGAAAGAGTTAATAGAACGTTTTATTTCCTGTTGTATTCCCCACTGCCCAGATATGCCTAGCTCACAGTAGACACTCAATAAATAGATGTAGGATGGAGGGAGGAGAGGGAGGGAGGGGGAGGAGGGATGAGTGGATGGATGAGTGGATGGATGGCTGGATGGTTGGATGGGTAGATGGATGGGTGGATGGGTGGATGAACGAACAGATGGATAGATATACAGACGCAGCAGCATATACATTTCCTTAGAATTAAAGAATGGATGAGTTAAATAAGCATAGGAGAAGAAAAAGAACAGTAGTAAATTGTTCAAAAAATTCTTAAAACTTATCTGGCCAGATGAAAGGTGCTTTCTTACTGAAAATTATAGCATTACATAGAAGTAAAATTAGCAAGGATAGAGAAACTTGTTTACTTAATTTTCATTCAAAGAAAAGCAATGTATCTTAATAATGTTTTTATTTACCTTTCTGACAAAGTCATCTTCGGGAGGAAGTAGATAAAATTATAAAAATTGCTATTTTAGAATTAATATGATTAAAAATATAAAACTTTCTATTTAGTGAGATATTTCAAAAGCCTTAAAGGAAAGTGACTAACTTGTTTTAAGAGTTTGTTAATAACACAAACAAGAATATCCTGCATGGAGTAATACATTAATTTAACATAAAAGCAGTTTTAAACTTCAGAAAACACAGAAATAAGATAGTCTAAAACTAAAAAATTTTTTAAAGAGATAGAAATATGAATAAGGCACCAAAAAGAAATTCAGCCTTGAGAGTAATTTCAATGAGTAATAAAAAGGTGACATAAAGAAACAAATGTAGCTGCACAGGTAACTAACTCCGTTGAATGAGATCCAATCTTAAGAAGGGAATGAGGAAAAGACCAGAGATTAAAAAAAAAAAAAAAAAAAAATTGGTCTAAACATCAAGACTTCTTAGGAAACATAGAATGGGAAGAGGTTTATAGAACACACCAGAAGAAAATAAGAGTTTTTCAAAGTAATGTTTTATCAAATAAGGAAAGAATAGAATATTTGCTAGAGGAAATAACAGATCATAGAGAAAACAAAACTAGAATTGAACTTGTATTATTCTCATCCATCTCATCACATTCTGACTCCCCCAGCCCTGCTTGCTTCTCACCCCCCACCCATAGCATTGACCAACTCCTAACATTCTACATAATCTAACATTCCATATAAAACATATGTATGGCATTGGTCATTGTCTCTCCCTCCACAAGAACAGGAATTCCTGTCTTTTGCTCTTTTGCTCACTGATATATCCCACATTCCTAAAACAATTTCTGTCACAAAGTAGGTAGTCCATATGTACATTCGTTGAATGGAGTTTTTTTGTATAAATGAGAATGATATTTAAAACGAAAAAGGCAGATTAATTACTATAAAAGATGATTTTTAAAAGCCAACATCTGTGAGAAGATGAAAAAGTAATCAGCTACTATAAAAAATTAAAATTGTCTAGAGTCAGGGTGTTTATATTCCAGGACATAAAAAGAACTTGCATGTATGATCAAAGGATCACCTTTGACAAGTCCTAGTAAGAGAATGAGCATGCAAATCTAGTTGTGAGAAGGGAGACAATGATGAAATAAAGACTGAATAATTTAAATGAATCACAAGCAAAATAATATAATGGCACATGTGGTCAACAGAGAAATGACATAGATGTATCGTAACATCCTGCATGGTCTTGTGGAACCCATGGTTATCAATAAGATGACACAGACGTAGTATAGAATTATTCGTAACAATCAGGAACACGATGTATAGCACGGCATCATGTATATTCATCACAAAGACTTACTAGACATAGTAGAGCAGCACATGTGGTTATAAAGGAGAAAATGCAGAGTTATTACAGAACCATCGATGGTGGTCAAGTTGATGAGGTCCATGCAGTGTAGCATAATGCATGACCATCAGGGAGATGACCCAGCATATCCCGTTATATATTGTTATTAAAGAGATGATGAGGACCTAGTATAACATCATATGTGGTTGTCAGGGAGGTGATGCAGACATTGCACAGCATCACATGTGGTTATCAGGAATATGATACAGACGTACTGTAGCGACATACATGGACATCATAGAGATGATGCAGATATAGTTTCTATCATAGCAGGGAGATGATTAACAGTGTAGAATCATACATGTTTATCCCTATCATAGCTGCTTTCCAGAGAGATGATTAACAGTGTAGAATCATACATGTTTATCAAACAAACATGAATCCCTCCACAAATTAAATGTATGAACAGATGACTACCGTCAGCTGAAGCAGTTGCAATAAGCTTTCCAGTGTAATCAAAACAGCTGTCTAGTATTTCATCATTATGGCCTGTTAATGTTATCATACATTTTCCATTTGTAGCATCCCACAGCTGAAATTACAAAAAAAAAAAAAAGACTATTATTTCTCATCTAAAGATCAAAGATGGTCAGAAGTAATCTTTATGACATTCTTACAGCTGGTTAAATAACTGTACCAAAATCACGTATACAATTTTCACACATTCTGTTAATTTTACCTTGACTTATGACTACAGACCACAGCCAACCATCTAACCAGGCACACTTTGGACACCAAGAAGAGCAAAGACAGATATTCTGCTGAGACTCCTTAAGGTTCACTCTAATCAATGTTTAAGAAATAATGAATAGAGAGACATTGAACAAAAATGATGTGCCTTTTAAAATAAGATATGTTAACACATGTGAATCAATTAAAATTGTTTTACTACATCATAATCCTTTTAAACTTTGGGGATCGAAAACTTGACATTTTAAAATTACCGATCATTATCTATAAATTGGTATCTTAATTTTATAGCAACTTTGAAACGTGTTATGAAATGCGTTATGAATTGTTGCAATGAATATCTGACATGATAAAAAGTACAGACTCGAAAATTATAAAGCAAGGACAGTTCTTGAGCTCACCATGCAGGTTTTGTCCATAGAGCCAGTTAATATCAGAGAGCAATCCCAGTTGAATAAGGCACTGCTAATCTCTGCACAATGTCCAATTAAGATGTACACCTTCCTGCAAAATGCAAGCGATACAAAAATGCCTTTCTTCAAGATATACGCACAAATAATGACGGCAAGCCCATTGGTGTAAGAGTCTAAATTCCAGTTCTTACAAAATGATGTCTTTGATGATAAAACGAAGAGGGCTTTGCTATATCTCAAAAAGAGTTAACTACCAATCTCATTTTAACAATAATATACTTACATTTTAAACAATCAAAGATAACAGCATTACTTAAAACGACACTTCAGGAAGGCATAGGTAAGAAATAACAAAGCAGCTTGAAATTCTGGAAGTATTCTCGCACCAGATGAGCGGACCCCTGGTAGTTCAGAGACTACCCATCAGATGCCCGCAAGGGGCCCTTTCTTCTCTCTCGTCTCTTGCTGCATCCATCCTGATGGGTGCCCCCCCCAAAATTAGCCCTTCTATCAAAATGCAGACAAGTCTAAGAGTGAAGTTTTACAACACAAACAGGCTAATTTAGTTAACTTCTTAGCAACTAGAACCAAAAATCATTAGAGAGGGAACGGAAGTTCTTGGACTAAATTAAATTTGGAAAATTAGCTGTGGTTTCATTTATTCATGATATCCAAGCCTACCGTAATGACAAGCCATTGAAATCTGATTACATAGTACATGGAATAAATGATAGCTGTATAATGAGGCTGTTGCTAACATTCTCCTTTTACGTTCTGTTTTTGGATCAGAAATATCGTTAAAGGATAAAATACATAATTTATTTTCAGTGTGTCCTATGTCTATGGAATCAAGAGAACAGTTCATACATTTAAGACTAAACTAATAAAATAACTAAGATTGTCTTCTTAACCCTCTGATCCAGGTTGAAAAATTCTTGAAAATGAAGACTACCTTCCAGTCCCAGCGTCCCACACTGTAACTGTGTGATCAAAAGACCCCGTGATGATCCTGTTTCCTGAGGTGTTGAAGGACAAGGAGATGATTTCAGCTGAATGTCCCTGCAAGAGAGCAGAAATCGTCGTGTGTACCTGCAGATAAAGCAAGAGCTACAAATGTACCATGTCAGAGGCTGAAGGGAAAGGCCAGGAAAGGCAAAGCTATACGTAAAGGGAAAAAGACTAGCGGTTGGCTGGGGGAGGAATGGGGGGTGACGGTAGATGAGCACGAGGCTTCTTTGGGGATGATGGAAATGCTCTAAATCCAGATTCACTAAAAATAAACATAGACTTAAAGCAAGTCCATTTTAACTCAATAAGGCTGGATCTTTGTTTTGCTTTGTTTTTGTTTGTGTGCTTTTTAAGGAAGAGGGCATGTTTCGGGACATCAGAGGGCCTCATTCACATTGTCTTGGAAACACTAAAGAGGGTTATATGATTGATGGGACAATAATAGGTGACAAGCAAAAGGTAAAAGTTTGTGGAATAAAGTGAATAACTTTGAAGAAAGAAAATTCTTATGAGAACTTGATAACTTAACATGAATCGATTAACAAATGTCTGGCCTCTAGCCTGACTCTCATCTGGTGAGTCTAGGGCTGATGCATCGGATTGTCTGAGATAATGGGAGGGAGCCTCCCTCTCCAGTGGATTCTGCTTGGAGCATATCCCTTGTTTTCCCAATGAATTTCTTAATTTTAGTAAATTCATATGACCACTTTTGTTGAATAATACCAAAGTTCATTTACAAATTAAATTTCCGGTTGATTCCAAATGACAAAAATTAAATGTAGCTGAACAATAAAATTCTAATCACACACACTAAACATATTCTCTAGTGGCAGAGAGGTGTGTAGAGCAGGATTCATCCCTCTGAAGGCTCTTAGCATTTGTCTGAAGCAAGAGGGAGCAAAGAGGCAGTGACTTACAGAAATGATGAAAATGAAGATCAGAAAGCGAATACCTATATTAATAATGCTGGCCACTCTGATATAAGAAGAAGAAAAAAATAAAACCTTGATGTTAGTTAAAAACTGTTTCTTCTGTCTCTTTTTTTTTTCTTTTCAGTCCATTTTTTTTAACATCCTTAGAAAAGCTCTCTTGGGAGAGGGGTCCTATTTTTTTTAACTCATTTAACAATTTGAAAGGATAAAAAAATTGGATTTCCCATCCAGCTACTCTTACTGATTGCCATAGAGAACTGCCTTGTTTTTATTTGGTAGTTTGGGCTGGGTAAGAACTGGAAGTCAGCAGGTCACACAGGAAGGTGTGGGATGTGGGGGGGGTGGTGACAGACAGGGATCCCTGTGGAGACACGCCTCCAACATTCACTCTGTGGGCGGTGCCTGTCTCCCCTCCTGCCACTTGCCTCTTGTCATTTCAGACTTTGTAAAATGGCGGGGGGATGGGGAGATGGTGGCCTCTAAAAGTGGACGGTAGAGGAGAAGATCGCTAACAGTCGTCCCTTTGAGGAATCTTCTGGCAACTTCCTTTGGTTCTGCCCCTTCCCAAAAGCACCAGCCTGCACCTACTTTGCTTTTAGCTAGATAGATGACAATAGGGTTTAAGCTGTGACTGGTGTGGCTCGCAGGCTGAAGTGCATCTGGCTTCCCCAGCACTTCCATCCAGGTCTTTTGGAAGAGCCAGCAAACCACCCAGAACATTCTTCACTCCAGTCTGAAAACCAATAGCTCAAAATCATCTTCTAACTTAGAGCTAATTTTGGACTATGACTACAAATAAAAACAAACACAAACAATACGTTTCTCCTAAAGGATGGCTAATAAAAATGTAAAACTCTCGACATTGTTAACGTACTGTTAAAGTGAATACTTCCTCTCCATTCTGGATGTCCCACAGTTTGGCTGTTGTGTCCATACTTCCAGTAGCTACCACCGTGCTTTGAGGATTGAATGATAAACACACCTGAATGACATGACATGAAAGAGGTTTAAGAAACACAGTTTTAAATGGTTAATTGTATATAGAAGAGCTTTAGGATGTAGCTCCTTTAGCAGATTGCGCCTAATTCTTTGTACAAATACTCAGCAAAATCCCAAATATGAGTAGCCTGCTATCTAGGGGTTGAATCCAGAGCAGTCTCATCTTGAGGAGAAGCTGCTTGTCCCTCCAGGTCACCCAGCTCAGGCTTGCAGGGTCACTGGCTCCCTTCGCCACTCCCAGGCCCCAGAAGAGCAAGGACAAAACCCGCTGCCTTTGAGATTCATGCCGCGTGGCTCCCATCTTCCTTGTCTCTGTTGTCACAGTCCTTCCAATCATGCCCGCCTCACTCACTTTGGCTATCTGCTCACAGTCTCAAGCCCAAGTCCTAGGTGGCTTTCACATGGGCCATCCTTTCAATACCCCCAGACCCATGATCCTGGACTTCTTTGAATAACCACTCCCGTGGCCACTCCCTGAACCTTGACGTCACCTTCTCTAGAAGATTCACTACCAATACATTATCTACAGGGTAAAGTCCAAATTCCTTAACATAGCATATGAGACCTACTCTAAATCTATAACACGGCCTCGTCCACCCCTTCCACGTCAATCGCGCAAGCCCTGTGCCCCGGTTTTGAATGGGTTACAGGGCAGCAGGAAGGATCCTGCCTCTGAGGGCGGGCAGCCAGCAACTCTCCCTGGTGCGTTGAAAATCCATATTAGCATATTCTGTACATGCCTTCACAGGGCAAGGCTGGAAAGCTCTGCTCTACCATACGGAGCCACGCGAGTTCTCAAGCACGGGCCACTGTCGCATGCTGTGCCCGCGCAGCTCCCTCCGCCTGGAATGCACGTGCCACTTCCCTGCAAAGGCTTTCCTCAATGCTTCTCTAGGCCGAGGAGACTCGACTGCTCCCCTCTGTGCCCTCACTGAACTCCCCGCCAAATCCTAGCACACCGACGACACGCCTTTGAACTTAAGGACACCTCTACTCTCTCTGTTCAACTACAGAACCCCTAGAGGGTAAGGACTCGGTCTGATTCCAGCTGGTCCCCAAGCTCATGGGCCAGGGCTCCACACACAGTCCATAGTTAGTAAACGGTTATTGGATGGATGTCGTTGACCATGAAAAATATGACTATCTTCCTCGGAATTATATATGAAAAAAAAAAAAAAAAAAAACAAACCCTTTCAAAATTCCAATGGAAACACAGCCACACTATGAAACGAGGATTATGTTGTTCTTATGACCTTAGGCAAGGTACTTAAACCCTATGCCTCAGCATCCTCAGCAGTAAAATGGGGAAATACCTTCCTCCCAGGGTTGTTACGAGGCACAACCAAACTAACACACGTGAAGGGCTCAGGACACTGCTTCATGCTCTCAAGTGCCATTAAAGAGTCAGTTTTGATTTTTCACTGAAGTAACCTCAGTGTCTAGCAAAACATCTTGAACATAGCATGAGCTCTTATTGGGTGACTATACCATAAATTTGAAAGATGAATATAAGTACATTTTACTCCTAAAATAAGCAGCCTATTTATTTTTAAACTATCGCTTGTTCACAGGGTGCCAGTTATCTCGCTAATTCCTATAAGATGTAACACAGAGTGGGCCAAGGGCAAGGGTTTTCCAAGAGTCAAAGCAATTTAGAGTATCAGACCATTTATGTAAATTTGAGTTCTATTTTGTCACTGAGATAAAAAAAAATATATGGATTTTGATATCTAGAAAACAATCAGCCTAAATGTTTTACATGATATTTTTAAAAAGTTATTTCAAAAGCTATTTTAAGAGCTGCATCGACCCTTATCAAGTCAATCCTTTAAAGGCAAGTCTGTAGAAAAGAACTCAGGTTGGCTGTTTGCACTCATATACTCATCATGTTACGAGTCTCTCTTGCTAATGCAGGATATCCGTAAGATACTAAAACTAGAGTAGTTAGTAAACTGTATCAACAGCACCACATTAAATAGACAGAGAATAAAAGTACTGGATAAAGTTTTTATTTATCGTTTTATTTTTTAATTAATTAATCAATTTTTTTGCGGTGACCTTGGCTAACGAAATCCAATACGTTTCAGCTGTACGCTTTAACAGTCAGACATATATATATTTACTCTGTGTATTTATCTCCCATAGTTAGATTCCTTTCTGTCACCACACGTTTGACCCCATTGACCCCGTCTATCTCTCTTCCCCTCCCCCCACCCCCTACCCTCTGGTAACTGGATAAAGTTTTTAAATTAATTATAAAGTAGAACCACTACCTTTATAATGAAATCCTAAAGAGAAATAGCAATAATATATCGACGTAAGTTCATCAGTTGTGATACAGGTGCCACTCTCATGGAAGCTGTTGACAGCGGGATGGGCTGAGGGAGACGGGAAGGGGACTGGAGTGTATGGGAGTCTCTGTACCTTCCTCTCAATTTTGCTGTGACCCTAAACCTGTTCTAAAAAACTAAAGTCTATTAAAAAAAAAGAAGAAGAAAAAAGTAAAAAAAAATTAAAAAAAAAAAAAACCAGCAATATAAGAGATTTAATAAAATAAATATACTCACTATTTCTGCTGTATGGCCCCTGAAGGTGTGGTAGCATTTTCCCGTTTCTACGCTCCACAGTTTACAGGTCTTGTCGAAGGACCCAGTGGCAATTTTGTCACTAAGATTCAAAAAAAAAAAAAAAGTGGATGTCGATATCAAATTCAGCCACAGTAAAAACCCCAGCAATATAAGAGATTTAATAAAATAAATATACTCACTATTTCTGCTGTATGGCCCCTGAAGGTGTGGTAGCATTTTCCCGTTTCTACGCTCCACAGTTTACAGGTCTTGTCGAAGGACCCAGTGGCAATTTTGTCACTAAGATTCAAAAAAAAAAAAAAAGTGGATGTCGATATCAAATTCAGCCACAGTAAATGACACGCTGAATTAAGACAAAAGATATTAATACAGAAATTGACTTCACTTTTAAAACAATAAGCAATCCTATATTTGTGTCGGTGGATAACAAAATAAAGGTCCAATTTTTTAATGGCATCAGTTTAGATGTTTAATTTTAAATATTTTACATTAAAATTCTATGTTTAGGGTTCATGTACTTTTTAAATTTGTACAATGAATATGGTAAATTTAGTTTAGAAAATTAACACATGAAAATTAATAATGTATAATATAATAAAAAAATTCTGTTAGTAGGTCTCCAATGAAGGATAGCATTGAATTTAAAAGAACAACAAAAAATATAAATCCAATTAAGCACATGGCTAGATTAAGTTTTAAGAAGGTAGAACAGTGAGTGTCTCCTAAGAAAAATAATGCCTATATTATTCCGATTTTAAGGTCTTTGAACAAGAAAGAGGGTTTAAAGGTAAAGACTTCGGTTCTTTTACACGACGGGCTTCCCACACTTCCTGTGTAACAGGGCTACTGTCAAGACTCAACAGTTAGGAGTAGTCTAGCCTGCTCGACATTTGACATGCAACTAAAATGTTTCCCTTTACCCCTGACCTCTACCCATGCTTTCAAGCAAGTCATCGAACTGTTCCAATCTGGGATCCTCATTTACAGTGCAAGCTCCTTGTTTAAAAATGTGAAGGTTTTAAGACCCAACACACATATCCCAAAGTGAATTATAAATGCTCAGCACAGTTGCAGAATTTTTAGTTGTCCAGACTAACGCTAATGCCTTGCTTTCCTTCTTTGTTCTCCGGCCACCCACATAGCAGTTCTGTGGCCTCGGACAATAAAGGAAAGCAAGGTCCCTTCTGCAGAGACCTCCAGGGACAGCTTGTCCTGGGAATTCCCATGCACCCACCCAAAGCGCCCTAACACTCAGGCTAGTTCTCTACCCGGAGCCTGTCTCCTGCGGCATCCAGTCTAAGACATTCCCGATCAGTGGCTGTTCAGTGCAACTTCTGCTCCAGGTGTGCTGAAAGCCCCGAGTTCTTCCTCAGTTCTCTCCTCCTGTTCCCATCCTTCCTGCACGTCAAACGTGTCAGTCTCAGGCTACTGCTGTGTCTCAATCAATTTCTGTTCTATCGCATACCCTTCTTACATCCATATGACACCACGTCATAAAAGATATTACTAATTCTAATGTTTTTTAGAATTACTTTATTGAATCAAAGCTTACTCCTGACCTAATGTGTAAGACAGATAAACTCTAAACTAATAGAAGTTTCTCTCTCTCTCTCTCTCTCTCTCTCTCTCTCTCTCTCTCTCTCTCTATCTCTATCTCTCTGTCTGCCTCTCTGTCTTTCTCACTCTTATTCTTTGGCAACTGTCTTGAACTCACTCTGCTAAAACCTCAATGCCCCAAAGTACAGTGAAAAATGCTGCTCTAGCCCCCACATAAATCACAAGACTGAGGTAGCTATGCAATTGGACAAGTGGGTTTTTTACTGGGGGTCTTGATAGAATCTAATAGAAGCCCCCAAAAGTGAGAAGTGTTCTTCACCTCTCCATCCCCAAAATCTTTGTTCTCAATTAGATATCCAGAATTATCACGTCTGTTAAATAGACTATTAAAGAATATAGTATTATAGAAAATATACTTTCAAACTCCTTTAAATAACGTTGCAATTAAAAGTAGAAATTATACTAGAGGTAAAACAGTATCATTTATAATTTCAATAAAATCTTTCTCTCCCGCAAGCTGATTTAGTAAGGTATTATAAAAATTATCATTCTCTACAATGTAAAAAAATGCATACATCAATGTTAAAGTTTCTGTAATTTAATTGGAATATTTAATCATTTTAATGTACCAGTTACGTTCGACTGTGTCATCACAATTAACGTATTTTTAAAATGTATTACATTTTCCAAAGGTATCACGACGTTAGCAAACTAGATATCAAGTTCTTAAAATCTGCGGTATAAAATTTCTACTCCAAGTGCATCACATTTTTATAAAATGCCTTTTATTGTCTCTGCTACTATCCTGGACTAAGTTTCCATCATCTCGTAAATGTATGATTTTATCTGCTTTCCACTCATCTCCTCGCCTCCTGTGTCTTTTCTCCCCCAAACCCTCTGAACCCTTCTCTCTGCCAGAGCAATCCCACCGAAATAATCTTGTCATGCTGTCACTCCTTCGTTCGCAAACCTTTCTCAGCGACTCATTCCTCCGGAACAGAGTTCAAACTGCACAGAACGCTCTGACCTCGCCCACTTCTAGGGAGACGGAGGGCCACTGAGCCCGCCCAACAAAGTCCTACCTGAAATACTGAGGTGCTGACGTCTCGTCGCCCCGGGGTGCCCTCGCCACCCCTGTCTCTCCTCCACCTGCCACGCTCCTGCTTTAATCTCATCTCATCCATAAAGGCTCTAACCAGAAGGTATCACGGCGATCTTTCTCTTCTTAGCTTTTAAACCATTTACTGTTTTCTAGCCATCAGAACACGACAGGAAAACAACCCTATTTACTGAACCAGCCTGGTTAATGGAGAAAGTCAGTTAAAGCAGGTGCCCATGAAAAAAGAAACATGTGTTAAATTTTTTACTCAAAATGAATATATATACGAATATATGCATCCATTTGCCAATCTTTGGATAAGAGGCCAAGGCCTTTTCTTTGACTACCCGTCAGCTAATGGGAATTCATCACCTGTTTTACAGAAATTATATCCAACCTCTGCAATTTCCAATTTTTAAAAATAATAATAACTTAAATTTAAGCATACCTGCAGAAGAACAATGTGAGTACAAAAATTTTTCTAAATTTTTGCAATGTGTTTTCTCGTTTTTACATTGATCTCATCTACAACTTCATTTAGTAACAATATTTTTCAAATATTTATCTTTGCTATACTTGCATAAAAAACAACAGCTTTATTTTCAGACTCACATTTTATTTGTTTAAGCAATATTTAATTAAGTTACATACTAAATTACATACTTATGGTTGAAAGCACAACCAATATAAGCAGGTTTATGGACAAGTACAGCTAACTCTTGGCAAGCTTAGAACCCAACCAGAGGGAAGAGAGGCTAAGTACACCAGTGGTTAGCCTAGTTACTACAAGCATTCAGGAAGCCATGGGCGTCAGTAGCACATCATGCAGAAGGATAGATAGAGAATGTTGATTAATCTATTGAATCAGTTAAACTACAGATTGGTTTAAAATGCTTCTATTATATTTGGTACTGTTATTTATCATGTTACTATATACATTTTTTTTCTACCTGGTAAGACTGAAAATAGCTTCTAAACAAAGTAAACCCTGTTATGTACACATGTCACGTTTCTCCAGAAGCATCAGCCCAGCGCTATCAGCGTCAGTAGGAACTGCCTGTCAGAGAAACCCCAGGAGCAGAGTCGGCCTTGCTTCGGCTTGAACTCTGGCTCTCCCCTCTAGTACTGTGGTCCTCAGAAGGAGACTTGAACTTTATAGACTTTATACAGGGACATATAAAGGAGCCCCTGCTCCTTTAAGCATCAAAAGAGGTATTTCAAATGCTTTCAAAGCACACCATCAGGCACTCATTACGGTTTAGTTCGCTGTCTTCCTTTCCTCCCTCAAGAGATGAAGAGATGAATAAATGAATTAATGGGTTAATGCGGAATAAGGGAATGAGCGAACGTCCTTTTACCCGTAGGGATTGTTGAATGCTATGGCATACACCACGTTCCTGTGACCTTCCAGGGTGTGAAGTTCCTCTCCAGATGCAGTGTCCCACAGTTTGCACGTCCGGTCGTAGCTTCCTGTGATAAAGCTAATACACGGAATGTAAATGGAGCACAAAGTGAGAACAGTAGCCTGTTACAACGGACCTCGTTTCTCACCTGCAAGATTATAACCCCGTGTATCTTGCTTTTTACAGTGGAAATTGTGTATGCAGAAGAAACTGTTAAACTGGGAACAATAGCTAAATCTTTTGACTTAAAAACTTTCCAATTTTCTCGCAAGCCCAAAAAGGAGGCGCTAAATAAAATGAAGGGTAATCCTGCCAATAATCATTCTCATAATGTGAATAATTACATAATTCAATAATAATTGTGATCAGTAACATTGACTGAAACCCTAACATATCTCGATAAATAACACCATTCTTCCGGAGGGTCAGACCACAAAATTTTAGCATCGCCTTTCATTTCTCTCTTCCGCTCACATCCCACACACAATCTGCTGGTAAACTCTCAAAATACATCCCTGCTATGGCCACTCTCACCGGCTCCATTGCCCCCATCTCTTGCCTAAACAAATAAAACCATCTTCTAATAGGTCGTGGCTCACACATGGGCCTTACAAATCTATTCTGGAGTTATTTTCTTAAGCTTCCTCAAATGGCTTTCTAGCAATCTAGAGGAACATTCCAACTTCTGCTCGTGCTCCACAAGGCCAGTGGCCCTGGCCGTCTCTGGGACTTCAGCTTCTCCCAGAAGCACAGCCTCATCAGCCACATCTGCCTTCTCGCTAATCTGCGAAGCACTAGATTGCTTCCTTCATACATGCTGCTCGTTCCGTCCATTATCCCCAGGACCTGGAACATGACTGGCACACTGATAAATGTTCAATAAATATTTCTTTGATATTTAACAATCCGTCAACATGACTATTCTCTTACAGGAGTAATTATCATATTGACATCTAATATTTTAAAGGAAAATGATAGTATATTAGAGTATATTAGTTATTTCTTAAATTTTCCATTAGGACAGATATTTGCCCAACACAGGAAAAAAAAAAAAAAACGCATAAAATTGAAAAGCCAGTCTGCATGTCAAGTGGTAATGATAAAAAGTGAAAATAAATTCTGCTATCTAAACAAAATAGAATGGTCGACAAGGCAGTGTGTCTCTGATTCTCCTCTAGACACTTCATCCTAGCTTCTTTGGGAATGTGAACTGGTAATATCATTATAGAAGACAGTATGGCGGTTCCCCAAGTAGGTAAAACTACTTTTAGGTATACATCCACAGGAAATGAGCTCAGGATCTCATAGAGATATCTGCACTCCCGAGTTCCTGGCAGCCTTGTTCACAATGGCCACGTACGGAAACAACGTAAGTGTTCGTCAAGGGACGAATGGGTAAAGAAAATGTGAAATACATATTTCAGGTGCTTTCTTCACCAAAAAGAAAAATATTAACTGTGAGAAGATGATATTTTAATAAGCTCAACGGTGGTAATTATTGCACTGTGTATACGTATATCAAATCATCTGTTGCATACCTTAAATATGTACAATTTTTATTTTAAAAAATTTTTCCCTCGATTATTAAAAGTTCGAAATAAAAAATAGATATAGAAACTGAAGTAGAAATAGAAATAAATAGGCAGGGCAGAGAGGATTCTTAGGGCAGTGAAACTGTTCTACCTGATATTATAATGGTGGATACATGTCATTACACATCTGTCGACCCATAGAATGTACAAAACCATGCGTGAATCCTAATGCAAACTATGAACTTTGAATGATGATGATGTGTCAATGTAGGTTCATCACTTGTAACAAATGTACAACCTCGGGGAGTGGTGATGGTGGAGGAGGCTGTGGGGGGTGCGCGGGCAGGGGGCATATGGACAATCTCTATGCCTTCTGCTCAATTTTGCTGTGAACCTAACACTGCTCTTAAAAAATAAAGTCTAATAAATTTTTAAAAAATAATGAACCTTACCAGGAGCCCGATTTATTAAGTGCGACATTAGTCAGTGGCAGTATATGTGCTCGGAGAATCTTCAATTGAAAAAAAAAAAAAAAAACACCATTTGTTTTAAACTCAAATAATATTAAGTTTAATGTGTCATTTTAACTTCAAACCAATGAAGACATTCAAGTTTGTGTTAATTATACATAATATACAGACAATATCTAACATGTGAATGAGAAAAATACATTATACTTTTTACTATTAAGACCAATAATATATTTGGTAGTTAAAAATAGTTATAAAAACATAATTAAATCTGTGTTTTCCATCAATATGTCTTTAAGGTATGTTTTTGCTATTAAATAAAATATCAAATAGCACTAATTTATAACATTTTCTTTTACATACAACACTCATTTTTGTACATAAGTATAGAGTATATAGAGAAAATATGCTATGTTTAAAATATAGACTTTACAATATATTATTACTTTTTTGAATCCTAAAGCTCCATTAGAATCAAGGGATGTCTTATTTTATTTACCTTTCAATCCCTTCATTATCTAGCAACTACTGGATGCTGAGTATTTATTGAATATATATATATTGCATAGTTTGTTTACGCAGTGATTGGATAGGTTGTGACTGCCCCAGCTACGTCTACTACCAGAGTGTAACTACTATTATTAGTGTCTCCTTTCACTATCAAAAATGTTCCCTTCGAACGATAAATTCCAAGGCACAATAGTTGCGATGCTCACATTTGAAGTTAAATAGTGCCATCTACTGGAGAAAGCAATATTGCAAGAATAAACATCCTCTTCCCGTAAATTGAATGAATACAAGAGATTGTACGAGGATTTTGTATCGAATAAAATATGGTGAGTGTATAAATATTTTATTTTAATTATAGTTAAATCACAAAAATATAATCAGTATAATATGAAACTACTCTAGGATAAACTATTAAATATTGTTAAATAATAAAGACAAAGACAAAAACTGTTCTTGAAGTAATAAATGACTGCATTCGTTATATTTTTAATTTAATCATCAGAAACTTTAGAGAAAAATAAGCATATTTACATTGCATTAAAATTATTATATATAGTTTAGTTCACACAAAAGCTGAAAATCTAAAATATTGCTATACCATGAAATACAACTTCTTAATATTACTCTAGCTGAAAAATTAATTTAAATTATTCAATAACTTAAAACTACCTTAATGGTTATTCTTTAAATGTATTATTATAAAAAAAATTAAATTTACCACAAATCTTTATTAAACTTCTCAAGAAATAAATGTTTGAATTTCATTCATTCATTCAACAAACACTTAGCCTTAGCAAATATATGTGAGGCACGAAAATAAAATAAATAGAGAAAATAAAATTTGTATTTTATCTCAAATTAAGAGACTATCAATTAGTCAAAGTTCTTCTACTTTGCATTTTTAAAACACACATTACCTTAAAAAGATAGAATTGGTGGCTGCTGTGCTGCGTGAGTTTATCTTGTAACCTCTGTACTAGAAGTTTTACTTGGTCTGATCGTGAAGCAGTGATTAGAGGTTCTGCTTTCTGTATCTCTTCTACTAAGGCATTGACATCAGTACTGAAATTCACAGGCACAAAAAAGTTACTTTGTTCTATGCCAAAAAATTGTATATACATTCATTACATGGAGAGTTGCATTGCGTTACGAAGCATAGCATTTATAAAATGTCAAGACCGCCATCACCTTTACCAAGGAATCCTGGGGGGAAAAAAATCATACGAATCAACGAAGTACATCGTGCCTGGATGAAAGCGTCTTGGGTTCTCCAGAATACATTCTCATTACCTGACTTCTCCCGTGGAAGGGTGCAAAGGTTCTGATTTGCTCACCTAAGAAGGCCAAGGGCACACTGGTCCTAAACATGAGCTCTTTCTCTTTTATTTTTTTTTCTGTCCTTTTTTTTTCTTTTAAACAAACATCTATCGAATGTTCTGGTACTGTTATACTTTCTTTCAATTGTACAGAGGTTTTCTCATTTAACCCTGTAAGAACCCTCTAATTTAATACTTTTATTATAATTATTTTAGTGCCGAAGAGACTGAGGTTCAAAAAGGTTAGGATTTTAAATCCTAAAGAAAGAGAAAATACCTGACCAAAGGTAAACACTCAAAGAATGATGGTTATTAATGTTTCTTATTTGCTCTAATACGATTTCCCTGAAAGAGAACTGGTCTGAAAAGGATAGATTTAGGGTGTCCCCAGTATTCAAATAATCTATAGCAATTCTGATAAATTTTGCTAGTCCAGAAGAATATTACATCGAGATAAATATTGATCTCTAGAAACCATAAAGCATCCAAAATAGGGTGATTTTGCAAAACGTGTATCAAAGATCCATTGCCTAGTGCTCTCTCTTCTGGAAAGGCCTCATGGCCCAGCAGTGAGCGAGGTATTCAGTGAACAGATGGCTACAGCTTCTTCAGGACCCACCTCGGCACTCGAGCCCAGGCCTTGCTCTACGTGGTCCTCGGCCCAGGGCTGAGCAAAGAGACGGCAGAAGAGCCTGTCCGTTTCTGCCTGGGGAGGGGCTTCACCTGGGAGTTTTCCTTCCCGCGGGCGAAGGCTGGCGTCAAATCTGCATCATCCTGGTCCATGGCTCCTCCTGCCCAACCCTGCTTCGCCCCCTGGCCTGCCACAGGTGTCACTTCCTAGTAACCTTTTACCCACCTACCTGTCTCAGCATCTGCTCCTCAGAAAAACACACTCTGAGAAGCATCTGCCTCCTCTTCACAAAACAAACAAACAAACAAACAAACAAACAAACAAAAACACATTTCTTGAGCTCCGATTTTGTGCAAAGCACTGAGTTAGGAGGCTGTTCATGCCTCTTACATTTATCGAGTACCTACTGCAGGTTAGGCCCTGGGAGTGTAACAGTATGGTCCCAGCTCTCGAGAAATAAAATCTACTAGAATAGAACTGAATGTCTGGAACAGGAATGAATCGGAGCCAGTTTATAACAGTGACTTTGATAAATTCTCAGAGAGTCAGTTGTCAGAAGAGTTACACTTTTGTAAGAATTAAAAAAAAGATAATAATGTCCCTTGAAAAGATTTCCAACAAATGTTACGAATCAATACAGATTTCCTGCAAGATCTAAATTAACCAGATATTTATTCTGTACATTCCCAACCCTTCGGTCCTATTCTAACTGCTATTTTCCAGCACAGTAACTCCAGTATGTCATAAATAATGCAAGTATTTTTATGTGCAAAATATTTCCAGATTCTTGGGCAGAACTAGAAACAAGACTCGTACTTTTTTTTTAACTTTGAGACTTTTTTTGCTCTATAGGATGACTATAACATCCTAAAGATCTATACTTTTTAAACAGAAATCTGCGTTTTCCTGAATCTTTAGCTGAAAGTTATTCTCTTATATAGAAGTTTGCCACTCATGTGATGTTCTGTTTTGTACAAGTTGCTTCTTAAACTAAACAGTTAGTATCTTCATAGCCTCTCGTAGATTCTAATCTAGAGCTTTACATGGAGAAGGTACAAATACATCATTACTGAATAAATAAATGAACGTCTAACAGTGGAACTTTCTGCCTGCTGGCACGATCGCACAAATCAGTGAATGTTCCATTTACAAAAATAACAAGAAGGCTTGATTTGCCCTGAGGCCTTGTCTTCCCTGTAAATAGAATAAAAAGGGATTGATGTAGATAAAATTCAATGACATTATTTGGTTACCATTTACTCTTCTATTTAAAAATATACATACCTATTAAGTACCTTCTCGGTGCCAGGCACCTGGAAGGAGACTTGGACTCCACCGTCACCTTCATCACGCAAGCCACACCCTGTCTTCCTCCCCTCGGACAGACTCCAAACCCGGCAGCAGCTCTCGCCAGCCTCGTGAGGCTGTTTGTGCTTATTTTAAAACTAGAGAGCAGCTTGTCTACTACTTAATTAGACAAGGAGAAGTCCCTCTGCTGACAGTCTCTGCTCTCCTCTCCACTAATCATGACGAAGTAAAAAGAAAGTCATAATGGAAAAGCACTTATTTCACTGGGGGATAACTCTAAAGTACCTATTGCAGGATTTTTTTGTTCCATTTTTTTTTTAGATTTTTCTCCCATTTAGAGAGAAAAATCTCTCTCTAATATCTTCACCATATCTGAGCACAGGCTCCCACAGGTATAATCGCTAATCTGATTCTGTATCTGGAAGTGGAGTTTTGCATAAGATTTTTCTAAAGGAAGTGGATTCTGGGCTATGTGATCTTACCAGGGGATTTCCTCTGGGCGAACAACTTTCACAAACAAACTTGTGGTCCTCCCAGCTCTGCTCCGTGGCAGTTAATGAGGAAATCGTATATACGGTCAACCTTGTGAGATATTTATCTACTAAGAAAATGGCAGGCGGTGGAGGTAGACGGGGGAGGTAGGTGGGGGGGATTATCGTTTCATAAATTAATTAATTAATTAATGATTTTTTAAAAAAAGAAAACGGGCTCAATATTATCTTAAAATTTAATAACCAGTACTCCTCAAAAATGTTAAAGTCATCAAAACTAAGACAAGCTGTCGCATCCATGAGCAGCCGAAGGAGACCTGACGACTAAATGAAATATGGTGTCCTGGGTAGGATTTTAGAAGAGAAAAAGAGAATCGGGCAAAAGCCAAAGAAAAATGAATAAAATACCACCTTTAGTTTAAAACAACATATTAATGTTGGTTCATTAATTATGACAAATGTGCAATATTAACCTAGGGGATCCTGAGTGTGGGGTACGAGGGGACTCTGTCTTTGCTGCTTTTCTAAAACTATTAGGGGGAAAATAAATGTCTATTCAGAAAGAAAAAAATGGTAGAGGGTCCTTTTTCCACCTCTTTCTCATTCAGCAAGACACTCAAGTAGAATTCACGGAAAGAAACAGAAAATTACACACCACGGAACATTTTTTAAAGCAACGTATCATCTGAGTTTGTGCAGCTCATCCACGCAGTATCCAATGTCAGGGTTTTCCACTAAAGAAAAATGTGGATCTGAAATACATTTTACATTATATAGCCAGCTTACCTTGGACTGAGATCAAGCAAATCTATGGATTTGGTCTTCAATTTTCCACTCTTTTCATATTCCAACATAATTCCTATAAAATAAATAAACATGTTAGAAGACATTTATGATGACAACCTACAAAGTTAGTCTGCTTGGACATAATTGTTTTCATTTTTATGTTTTAATTCTTTGCATTTTTCAACATGAAACACATGCGGTGATGTCTAATTCTAAAGCAAGATTGTGTAAACTCCCTTTCTCTTGGTCCTTCCTCGAAACACAACTAAACACCCTTGAAATTATTCAGCAGGCAACGCTAGAAGAATTGAGAGTGGCGCAGCAGAAGGCGGACTGGCTAGGGGTCTCAGGAAAGGCAACGCGGTGATTTCCCTGGGTTTTTGCTTTATCTGCTATGCATCCCCACCTGGGGACCAGAGGGACGTGTAGCCTGGAACCAGCAAAAGCCATAGACAATAAAAACCAAATGACAGCAACAAAGCTCGTTCACCATGGCCGAAGGCACAGGAGAGTCCTAAACTCAACCCCGCTCCACCGCTGAGGCCCCTGCAGGCAGTCCAACCCACCAGAGACAGCCCTGGGCTACCCTAGTTCCCACAGCAAGGCTGGGCCCCATCAGCGGTCCGATGCCTGCGGCAGACACAGCAACAAAGCCTCAGACCGTCTTGACATGTGCTCCTCTGCTGGGGCCTCAGAGGTTCATCTAGTCTGTCTACAGCAGGTCCTGTCCCAGGACCTCCCAGACCCCACTCCACAACCAGGTGGGCAGTCACATTCATCTACAAAAGGTGGCAATGAAGTCCCAGGATGTCCCAGATGCTACTCGACAACTTGGCACCGAAGCAGTGTCTCCCTGTCTTTCAACCAGTGGCATAACCAGGTCCAGGGTCTTGATCCCCCACCCCCAGATGTTCACCAAGCGAGAACAGGTATATTGGGAAGTACCTTCTGTCCCCACAGGTGGCACTGGCAGAGATGGAGCAAGAATCTTGGCAGCACCAGAAAACTGAACTGCCACTGGAACTAAGCCCACAAAAGTAGACCAGAACCTGTGTATGCTAAGTCTAAACATGATTACGGCCTGCCAAAATAGAATTAGATACGATCAAGTGCCTCCTAACATAATACCCAAAATGTCCAGGACACAACAACAGTAAAATACAATCAGCAAACTCTAGTATCCAGGATATAACAAAAAAATCACCCATCATACCAAGAACCAGAGAAAGATAATCAGCAAACACCAACGTGGAGATAAATCAGATGCTGAAATGATCTGACAAAGATTTTAAAAAGAACATGTCATAAAAATACTTTAGCAATCATTCGTAAATACACTTGAAATAAATGAAAAAATATTTTTAAAATCTCAGAAAAGAAACAGAAGTTATTAGAACCAACCAAATGGGAATTATAGAACTGAAAAGGTAAATAACCACGATGAAAAGCTCGCTGACGAGGGTCAATAGTAGAATAGCGATGACAAAGGATAGAAGCAATGAACTTGAAGACAGGTCAATAGAATATATTCAATCAGCATAACAAAGAGATAAAAAAAGAAGAAAAAAAACTGAACAAAGCCTCTTGGGCGCTTTTTTGTGCTATCTCTATAGCTATGGTCTTAGGAAAACCTTATACTCTAAATTATGGAGGACACAAAAGAGGTTTTGTTTTTGTAATATTTTCCATGTTAAAATGAGATAATTTAAAAATATTTATTAAAGTTTTTACAAATAGCGAGAGTGCTTCATAATGGCATAGATGACAGAGGCTCTGTTCATCCCTCTGGAGACCAAATCAAAATTGTGACGGAAACAAGGAAAAATCACCTGGGATCTGGAGGAACAAGCCATACAACTAGGGAGAAGTCCAAGAAAGCACCCTGCAACGGCAGAAGGTAGGACGGGGCGAGAATGTGGGACCATCCGGTCCCAAGCAGCTGAGTGAGACGGAGGCTGCGGCCGCGGCAGTGGCGGACGCCTCTTAAAGGGGCCGCGTCCGCGAGCGGATTCTTGCGGTGACCGACCTGCTCACTCTGAGCACCAGTGCCAATCCAGCTGCACGCAGGGGGCACCAGGGACTTACAGAGAGACATTGTCAGAGTGAGGGCTGAGGTGAGCCTTGCTCGGTACAGAAGTGCCAATGGTATCCATTGTTCTCTGTTGAGCCCTCTTGACGCCCAGTGCGGACACAGCACCTCCATAGCCGTGATGTCATCAAACTGGATGACAGAGGTTGCTCAGTCTAGAGGATTCCCTGAAACCCTGCTTTCCCCAACTCACAGCCTCACCCAAGCCACATCCAGGTGTATCCTCAGCAAGTCAAGTACTCCTTGCCGAGCAGAGCCTAGACTCACATTGGAGGCAGCTGGCCTCAGTTTCTGGGGTGGCCTTTTGAGGCAACTAGAAGCACAGCATCTGTGGATTGCTTGCTGAATCTTAACAGGTGGCCCC